TTCCCGGCTCAGCGTGATTATGACTCTACACAAGTCTGACTGCTCAGGTGGCACTTTGACCCACTACTCTCCTCGCCTAATGTTCTCAAGGATGCAAACCTGTCTGATTGTGTCTTATGCCTGAGCCATCCATGACCTCCCTCTTATCAGCCGCTGACCCTTAACTGCACCAAGTGCTTTATGCAGAGGGTGGTCTGTGTCTGCAGCTACCCTGAGATATGACTTCGCCTGCATCACCTTGTGCCTACCTGCAACCGTCGGCAAACCAAGGATGTATCGCATACACACCACTGGGGTGTCTCTGGTACTAATACTATGTGTTTGCAGGTCTGTCTGGATATTATCTTTCCATGGTCTTCTTGGTCTGCCTTATGGTCTACGACCATTCATCTCCCTTGTGTTTACAGTTTTTACTTCTCTGTCATCTGGCATTTTGTCAATACGCCCCAACCATTTAAATCTTTTAGCTCTCATGATGCCAGTGATCAATGGTGATTTAAACAGTTTATGAATTTCGTTGTTGCTTCTCACTCTCCATTCCCCGCTGTTTGATTCTTTGATGGGTCCAAAGATTTTTCGTAAGACGCTGTTTTCGAAAACCTGCAATAAGGCTTCATCTCTTTTAGTTGTACTTCAAGTTTGAGAAACAAATAAGACGACTGATCTTATCAACGTTTTATATATTTTGATCTTGGTGTTGCGAGACATAAACTTTGATTTTAGCAGATGTTGAAGGGCATAGTATACTTTATTTCTAGATTATATTTTGACTGTATTTCTTCTCTCATCATGTTGGAGAAGTTTGCACCCAAGTGTAAATATGATAAACTTTTTGAACATTTAAATGTTGTAAGAGATCACGTATTGTTGCCCTTCCCCTGGGTTTTTGACCTCGGAATTATGCAATATCTCCCCGAGACTACCCCAGGATTCTGCGATTTCACCAGTATTCCTGAATATGTATACCAGCAAGATTGCATAACCTGCAACACCAGGTGTTGGAAAATTATTGACATTTGCAGATAATGTTATTGCATACAGACAGGGGAGCGACAGGCAACAGACAGTCCAAGAGCTACAGGTGACTGTAGACAAAGTGACTGACTGGTGGGCAGATATTGGTGCTGTCATCAACTCATAAAAGGCGGTTGTTTTATGGTGCTCTATGGACGATAGAATTGTCAGAGCTAACTTTCCAGTTCGAAAGAGAAAGATAACTGGGTGTCATTTTCGATTGAAGCCTGTCCTCAAGGGATCGTGTGAGGGAAAGGGGGCAATGAGGTTTTAAGGGGGCGTCAAGCAGTTTTGAAAGTGAGTTAATTTGAACTTGAAATAATTCATTATACTGACATTTTGTTTTAGTTTCATTACAAACATATTTTTATTCATTTTTATTTGTTTATTACTTTTTAAGCAAAACGACAAGAGCATTTTTGTTTTCATAAGCAGTTCATACATGTGCCGTTGAAAATATACTTAATATGATAACTGCGCATGTAATTATAGATAAAGAACACATTTTGTTAAAACCGTATCTCAATAGTTTCAGTTTCTCTTGTTGCGGAATCTACACTCATCCTTTTTTTTGGGATCATATTTTATTATGTTTGGGGTGGAGTCTTGCCATTTACTAAAGGGGCGTAGGAATCTGACATATACTCAAAGAGGGTGTGAACTGAGAAAGGTTGGAAATCACTGGTTAGACAGACGTATTTTCTAAATGCTGAAATGTTTCGTATGCAACGCGAGCTTTAATTTGAAACCGTAAATTCGTCATCCCTGCCTTATATGCACTTTGACACTTGTAATGCACTCATGTGAACCCCTGTTAAGCATCACATGATGTGGGTTAGGGGAGCTTGTAACTGAAATGCTCATCCATTGGTTTATCAGAATGTCACATTAATTGAACGATTAAGGTGCTAAACTGAACGCATCTACACTTTCAGTCACAATTTGTCTTATGCAGAGACAGCAGGTGTGCAGACACGCAACAAACTGCAGACAAGTTCAGACAAGATATTCAATTGTCTAACGAATGTGTAAATTACTTTTCAATTTACTGGGACATTTCTAGGTTAAAGGTAAAAGGGTTTTTCGGGCTCGCGTCATGCACAGGCAATTCTTAATGTTGCTCGACCTGCAATCTTATCACACCGGACTAATCTTCCACGAATATATGGTGCCTATATTATAAACCTGATGGTCCTAATATGCATGATCTACGTTATGCTGATGACAAGTCAAAGGAAATAACAGTAAATAATTGTACACACGTGGTATAAAGTCAAAGAATGGCCCTCATAATAAGCGGAGACAGTAGTAATGGTAATAATTGTGTCGAAATGTGTAATGAATGTCATGAACGCCGCCATCAAGGACTACTGAGTGCGGAAAAGGGGAGGGGGAGTCTTCAGCCCCGACACCTTTATACATTTTCTAGGATTGCGGTTAATGAACTAAGGCCTTGTTTAAGTGTGGATTTTTATCATTGTATGGGACGTTGCAGGTCGACCCAGCCTCAAATGGGTACCAGGATGGGCTGTCCTGGGAAAGTAATGAAGACCGGCGTTATTCTGACCACATTACCCACCGAGTGCCGATTGGTCTGTAAAAATATGGGTGCTTTTCCCATATGCCAGATGCGCCTAAGGGCGTGTAAAGGGATCTTTACTTTTTTACTTTTTTCTTGTTTAAGTGCGAAACCATAATATCCATTATTATTTTTATATGTTAAGTGACAAAAAAAAATTGAAATAATTTGAGATGCATGTGTGTATGTGTATATATGTGTGTGTGTGTGTGTGTGTATATATATATATATATATATATATATATATATATATATATATATATATATATATATATATATATATATATATCCACACACACACAAATACTCAAAAACAGAAAGTGTATACGTGGTTAGGGAGAGCACTTAACCCCCATTCCAAATTAATTGAGTGCTGCGACCCTAGGTTCCAGCACCTATGGTTGCTCGTATTATTTTATGCTGTCGAAGGTTTTCTTGCTGTTTATTTTGTCACTAGTTTTTGTGTTTTTGGCACGTCGACGAGTTCTGTTGTCATTTTGGGTCGATTTTCCCTACCCCAATTCACTGGTTCACATGAGACATGGTAGACGAACATGCTGCACTTTGCCTTTCTCATTAATGTATTTTATTTTATTTTATTTTACCCCCCCCCCCTCCCCCCCCCCCCCAAAAAAAAATATGTTAAATGGTTTTAAAGTAAAAGTAAAGGATTCTTTTCCACACCTTCCAATTGAGTATATACGGCTAGACCTATATTTTATAAACCAAACCCACTCAAGACTGGGTCCACGTAGGAGCCAAGGTTATTTTAGAAAAATATCGGGCACTCGTCACGAACCGAACCAACGACCTTTCGATCGGCAGCCGAGTGTCTAGCCGGTAAACCACGGCGGCTCCCAGTAAAATGGTTTGGTTATTCTATTTTACGAACCGTTTGCCTTCTTTTTGATGTTGATTGAAAGTTTCCTCCGATCTGGGTCACCATCGAAACGAGTTTATTACTGAGGAAAGGAATGGAGTGGTACTGTATCCGTGGTGAAGTGATCTAGCCGTTTGCCTTTTTCGAAACGGCGTGGGTTCGTCTCATATATGCGTGGTTCCGTTCACCAATGAAGTTTTTACGTAGATCCTGTGGATCGTTGCTCGAGCTACTAAGTTCTTGCTTTTACGGATGTAAGAGTTGGACTCTCACTGTGGAAATGGAAAGGAGGATTCAGGCTTTCGATATAAATGCTACATTCGTGGCGTTGTTGACAATTTTCGGTCCTTCCAGACATAGCGCTATTTTGTTTTATAGAGAGACATGAAATAAACTACCAGTGTAGACAGGATAACTTTGTTTTTTAAAGAGGACCTATTGTTCTAATATGACTTGAGTATGCATTTAATATATAATGATTTACCATGTAGGTAATCATGCAAAACTGCCATGCAGTTATGACAGATTATCTACAAGTTTGAACAGCTAGCACTGGCCCTTATTATCAAATTCCATTTCTCTAACTCTATAGAGGTGATTGTAGTAAAACTAGCTATGACCAGGCTAGAGACACGGATTGTTTCCCATGTGAACTTTTCTTACTGATTCCATAAACATGCTTAAGAAGTTTGAGACAGGATGAGTTCGAAGACAATTGATGGAGTCTCTGAGGAATTCTCGTTTGACAGGAATCAGTTTGATTGTTGTGCCAAGACGCTATGGGGTAAGAAGAAATGAACGAGGGCACTGGCGGGGTGACATTTGCACGGTAGACACATTAAAAGCGGTGGACTGGATTAATGTTGTCAATGATCTCAATGAGGCAGGACGAGTAGATAGTTCAGTAGACGGGGAATCAGCAAGACAGCTTTGACAAGACTTCAATAAAGTCATGTCAAAGCAGGTGTTGTCAGATATGAACAATAAACATCTAGCCAAAGAAGAATAGTTGTTATCAGTTGGCACACGCTAACGAATGTACTTAAGAACATGGGATCAGAGCACATAAAGACGTGTGCTATGAACGATCAGGAAAATCGGTCGATCTCAACTTAAATTCTCTAACACGGTTAAAACAATATGTTATATTATGCTTTGCAATAGACTGTTGATTAACAACCTGACTAGTCACTATCGTAAAACATCCTTTGTTCTAGAATCAGATTTCTAGCTCCAGAGAGACACTATGTAAAACTATTACCAGGGAACGCTCAACTATGGGCCTAAAATAAATATCCAAGACCTAAAGCAATTGGCAACGAACCGCCAGACATGGAGAGCTATGACCTCCCCCCTATGCGCCGCCTTAGGCCCAGGAGGAAAGACTAACTTACTAATAGATGTTGCCAACTGCTTCTTTTCTTTTTCAGTAGGGACTGCCATGCAATTATAACAAAGTATCAACAGCTATAATTGTTATTCCTAGTCCTTACCTAGAGGAACCATGGTTCTGCCAGGATGACAGCTTCAGTTGTCTCTACTCCCCAAGATCTTGTTAGCGTCGTTCGTGTTTCCGCACTCAGTGGACCGTCGGCCAGCGAGCTGTGGACAGAAGGGATAATTATAGTGTCTGCAAAGACACAGCTTTCATTCTTGGATTAGCAGGTGGACACTCTGTTGACGTCGTGAAAGTCATGTCTGGCAATTAGGCCGGTGGAGCAACGGTAACAAGATACGGTATATACAGATGGCAGACGTTTGGCTAACAAGGAACAACTTAACCTTTCTTACCGAGTGTGTGTCATAGTGTTGGAAGAGAGAACAGGGGCCGAAGAGAGAGAGAGAGAGAGAGAGAGAGAGGGGGGAGAGAGAGAGAAATGGATATGTGATAGAAGGAGAAGAGGGAAAGAGGGAGAGGCACCGTGGATGTGAATAAAACTATTATAAAACATTCACAAACTTTTCCTTTTTCGTTGTGCCCGTAAAGGTGGGATTTTTTTTTCTGTGTGGGTAGAGATGTGTGTTGTCCATTAAGGTGATGATGACCACTCTTTTTCATCAAGTATGAGTACGAAGATGACTGATGAGGCCGATGCGGGCCCGAAAAGTTCTTGGACAGTGAGGACAGGGAATAAGCGTTGTGCCAGGGAGGGGATTTCCTGCAGTCACCTTTCTGTGGGTAGAGTTAAAGTACATGGTGCTTTTCAAGCCATTGAAAGATCGTGCAGACGGCGCGGTGGGATGCGGCAATTGTCAGACCGACATCTTTAACTTTCTAGTTCATTTCCTGATTATCATTTTAGTATGGAACAACTTAGGAGCCCAGGTCAGTTCTGAAAA